GATAAAACAATGTCCACGATTATTTGAAAATTGCATGAGAGCCAAATTTATTTTTTCATATTTTATATACAGATCAAATTAGCTTTTCATATATTGTGCGAGGTTAACATAGTATTATAGGATAGACCACAACAGAAATAGGTCAAATCTTTATATACATAAAAAGACATATTATTTATTTATTTATTTTATCACAAGATAAATCAAATATAGAACTCATGTCATTTCATATTATAAAAATACTAGTGAGAAATGAACTCACCTCTAGTGGTCACGACCATTTAAAGATAGTATAGACCCGAACATACAAGAAATAGTTCAATCTTATATACATAAAAGTACATATTATTTATTTATTTATTTTTATCCACAAGATAAATCAAACTATAGAACTCATGTCATTTCATATTATAAAAATCCTAGTGAAAATGAAGCTCACCTCTTATGTGGTTCAGACTTTCTCAAAATATTATCTCCGAAATTCAGCCAAAACCTATTAATGTAAGATATATGACTAACTATTAATTCAGAACAAACATATATTATGGGTAATTTAATCATTATCTAGAGTCAATAAACTCAAATAAATCAATAAGATTAAATTCTACAGTCCATACGAGCTATATGTTAGTTTTAGCAATTTATCAAAATTTTATAAACTCTCATATACTAGCTATTGGACTTTCTAGTAACTTATAATAATGCAGGGGTTAGAGGAATTATACCAGTTCGAAATTTATTGTTTATTCATCAGTCTGGACTTGTTTACAACTGAACACAAAAGCAGGGGCTTAATAAATATTTTCTAGTCCTTTTTCAAACTATAAGTTTGTTTCAAAAAAAATTTAAGTATGTCAGGGGCTTAAAACATACTTTCCTCTTCTTATATTACACCGTGATCATCTCTTCTTCGTTTCTTTTTCTTTTTCTTTTTTTTTTCTTTCTTCCGTTCCTCTTTCTCCTCATCTGTTCCTTTTTTTTTTCCTTCGGTTTTCTTCTCCTCTCCTCTCATCTTTCTCTCCCTCTCTCTTCCATCTCTCTCTCTCTCTCCCTCTCTTTCTCTCCGCCATGGAAGTGGGACGGCGACGAGGAGCCCGCCGGCGACCAAAACCGGCGGACGACGAGGAGAGGCCGACGACGGAAACCCCCCCAAAAAACAAGGTTAGCTTAATTTAATTAATTTTTTTTTTCAGTTTATTTCATGCCTCCTAAACACATAAGAAATTCCTCTTGAAAACCCTAGATTCCTTTTTTTTTTCATAACAAATTAATTCCCTTATTCATCCTATTTTGATTCAATTTACTAAGATTTCTATAACAATTCCTCTTCTAAATCAAGAAATTAACATGGGAAATGGTTCATACCTTTGGATTAACTTTCCCTCTTTTCCTTTCCCTTTCTACTGTCTTCTTCCTCTTCTTCTTCTTCTTTTCTTTTCACACTTTTAATTTGGGTTCTCAGAGGGTTGGGTTGAAGAAGATGAGGTGATATTTCTGTATTGTTTTTTTTTCTGTGATTTTTCTTTGATTTTCTCTGTTTTTCTCTGTTTTTATTCTCCCGTTAAGAGGTGCCGTCCAAATCTTCAAATAACATTTAGCCACACAACTATTAACGTGGCAATTACTCAGGGGTTAGGGTAAAATCCCTAAAATACCCTTAATTAGCTAATTAATCTGTAATTAAAGAAAAAAAATCCTCTATTAATCAAGTTTTAAGACTTTAATTAGTTGGGTTACTACACCTTTAACACAACTTCTAAAGTTGTAACAACAAATAAAATTCACTATTCAGTTGGTTTTTTCTCTAGTTATTTAGTGAAGGTTGAGAGAATGAAAGAGGGGAGTATGGTTAGATTACAATTTGAGGTATTATATTATATACACACATCATACGGTATATCACTCCGATAAATACTACTTATCCCCAATATATCCCCGATTTCCGCTATCCGATAAGGATTTTGGCAGTCCGATAAATCTCCAATAACCGATATTTAAAACCTTGAATATGACTGAAAAGTTAAGTAGGGGATGTGAAGGATGTGAAAAAACCCTAATATTTTGCACTTTTCTAAACCAAAAATACAGCAGTTTAGATTACAATGAGGCAGGGAGGGGTGAGATTTGCATGATGGAAGATGGGCTGAATGTTGATTAAGATTTACAGGTCTTTTGCTAGTTATGATGTTTTTCGCAAGATAAAACTTTTTTCCGGTACTATAAGATGAATGAGAGACAGGGATGTTTAGACTTGAACTGCTTTTGAAATTTTCAATTCGCTTCGGTTGCTCCATGCTTTCCTCATGGCATTTATTCAATAGGACTCATTAGATTTTCCTATAAAGTATTTCTTTTATGCTGGAGCTATCTCGAATTGGAGCAAACTACTTGCCAAATCTACTTTTATTGGTATATGTTTTGCTCGACACCTTGAGTTGCTTCCCTTTTTTTGACTTCCTGATTCCTGGAGCTGCGTCTTGATACTAGTTGTACCTTTTACTGTTGTCAAGACCTTGTACTTTTGCAGTTTGACGTTCTCAAATTTGCAATTTCTGTAGTTATAACACATCTTTTTACATTGTGAACAAACATGTATTGTTATGAACCTACTTTGCTGGAACATAAGCTCTCAGACGTGATGTCCTTTCCCCCTTGTTGACAATGTGATGCAGATTTCTGATACTTGGGTGCATCACAAGGTAATCCCTTTCCTTATATGGGGCATGGGGAAAATTATGGAGATTTTTGGTTTGTTTTCCTTAGGTCAGAACATTATTTCATTTAGATGTGGAAGACGGCATGGATATTGTTTAAACTCCCTGTTGTGGTGGTTAACATTCTACTCTAGTTGCTGGGTCTCATAAGAGTAATAGTTAATTGACTGTATTCTTTAAGACTGTAACTGATATTGCAGCTTGGGATGAGTATATGCTGGTGTACAAGTTATTGCAGGTGACCAAGCTGTGGTAGCCCATGGTACTTCTATTCTTAGTTGTCCTTGGAGACTTAGGCCCAGTTTGGTATGATTTTCTAAGGTTGTTTCTGCTTATTTTTTTCAAGAAACAGCTAATAATAGTGTTTGGTAAAAACTTTTTTGACATGCTTATTGAAACTACTTCTGCTTTTAAAGCGGTTTTTTAAAAAGCAATCTGATGATGCTTTTAAAAGTGGCCTTTTCTTTTTTATTAGTTTATATTTATATACTATATATACCTTTTATCTTTTAACAATGATCATTAAGCACAGTTCTACAAAATACATTCACTACTTTTTAAGCAGTTTTTAATATTTGATTACCAAATAGCTATATTCAGCTTGTATAAGTTACTTCTATAAGCTACTTTTATAAATAAGTTATCCTAAGCTCTAGCAATACCAAACTGGCCCTTAATCCTAGGGTCTTGTACTGAACTACTATCAATTTTATTAAGATGGCTGATTATCCAACATTCTTGGTCTTAGTGATTTTGTGCTTAACAACATTTATAGATCACTAGCTACAAGTGGGTTGGCTTGGTATGCCATAGAACATATCCAATGTTATATTCTTATACCTAGTTGTATGCACAAATATGCCAGTATATGACTTCCCAGGGGTGTATGGCTTCTTTTCTACATCTGGTGGTAATTGCATATGGCTTGAGGAATGCCTTTTCTCCATAATTTTCTATTTGAAATGGATAGAGAATTTGATTTCTAATTTCACATGTAAGTCTGCGTCAATGCTATTTTTATTTTAAACATCTTATGACAGAATAGTAATTAGTTTTTATCTTTTATATAATTTATTAATTGTCATTCTTATTTCTTGTATAATATAGCAACGAAACACCATTTTTGTTAGCTTGTTAGTATCTTCAGTCAGTCTTCTTTTTCTTGCTAGATGTAATTCCAATAAAGTAAGAGCAAAAGATGTTTCCGTCCAACACCAGTATTGGTAGTAAAAAAGTGGTTATGCCACTTTCTCAGCATTTTATACTATGCTAATACTCATCAAGTAATTTGTTGTATGTCGATAATAAGGTAAATTATTCTTTGATGTATGCTTTTACTTTTCATCCACTGCAATAAGAACAACCTCTTTCACTCCATCATTTTAACTGTTCTCACCATTTTCATAATTATCTGAACTCTTTCTGGTGTGCAGTCGGTGTTGGGAGCAACCTTTCGACTAATAATGCTATATGGGCCATATTTTGTTCAGTGCATGCCACACTGTTGTTAATGCTTTAAACTGATACCAATCTGGTGAAGCAGGATGAGAACCAAGAAAACGATTTGCCATGTAATGTAGAAAAACAATTGTGGAGTAGGAAACATATGCGTATATTCATATAATTTAAGCTTATTAATTGCAGAATGTCCTCAACAGTTTTTGCTTGCTAAATGACTTAATTGATCGAAGCAATTGCATTAATTTTTAGTCAGAATATTAGCTGAAAATGAGATAAATAGGACATGTTTCTTTCGTTGCTTATATGTTTATGGTTATTAACTTATTATCCTATCTTTTGTCAACTCTTGCTGGATTGTGTTTGGATAATTTCCTGAAAATTTATCTGTGAACAAAGGTTTCTTTCGGGTGTCAAAAATTAGTCATTGAAAGTTGAATAATAATGTTGCTTTTAGTGTAACCTAGGAATCATCTTTCACAGTTTAACCAAAGAATTTTTGACACAAAAGGGAAGCTTGGTTTTTCTTACTGTGCACTAGCGCACATATTTTGCATATAGGCTGCCTTTCTATTCAATCTAGTTGCCTCACATGATGTACAAATTGTGAACAATTCCCAGAAGCACAAACATCAGTTTCAGTTATGATCTCACATTATTTTAGTGTCATTGTCATGTGTATTGACCTCTATCTGAGTTATCATTACAAGGCCAACGTGACAACAGAACTAGTTAATCTGGTGAATGAAAAAAATGGTGTGCAAGTTTTAGAACTTTATTAGTTTTGTCTTCATTCGGCGATCATAATTATGTTTTTCATATGTGCAGACAGTTTGCTCAGCGATCACGAGTAAGGAAACTCCAGTACATTGCTGAGCTGGAAAGAAATGTCCATGCATTACAGGCAAGTCTTGATCGACTGGGAAAAGGGTTACCTTGGTAATATATATCTCTAGAATGAGGGAAATGATTTTATAGAAGCATCTCTATTCTGACTGCAATATCCAATCATGTGCATTTTGCCTATAGGCAGAAGGATTTGAAATTCCTGCGGAAATTGAATTTTTGAGTCAGCAGAACCATTTATTGAGCTTGGAGAATACAGCTTTAAAGCAACGACTTGATAGCCTTTCACAAGAGCATATTATAAAATGCTGTAAGTGTTTAATTAAAAGTTTCATGCATATCATGCATGTGCTCTTCCCTCCACATTGATATTTTATATGAACAATCTGAATATTTATGTGGATGTATGATTGCTCATCTATACCCTAGACACTGAATACGGGCATGAATCTTTAATACAAAGGGCTATAACACAACACATGCATATCCATACCTTTTTGCTCTTTGTTAATTCAAATTCTTGTTTTAGCACTTCTATGCAGATTATATAGTCAATAAATTTGAATTATTTAGTATCTAAAAATATAGAGGCGTCTATGAAACCTCGCCTACTCACTGATTAAGTAGCACTTTTCACAGCCATTATTTTTGCAAATAGGATTAACGCTTTTTGGTTGTAAGTTGGCATATTGAAAGGACAGAAAATTCTTACTGCAGCATTCTTGGGTCTGGATGCATGGCTAAGAAAAATATCTATTCCTCTTCCAAAGATTTATTGAGGTGCCAGACTCATATATAGATGTATTCCTAGATGGTATCCCTCCAGCACGCATACAAACAAGATTTATAACTATTTCTCTGTTATCTATTATATATAAATTTGCATATATCACCCTTCAACTGTACCTCCTTTAGACCCCCCTCAATTGGCTTGGTAGCACCCTTGGGATTTTGTCCAGACCCTATTTATTAACTTTCCCATCAACAAAAGTCACATTCAATGCATGTTACCAGACATTTATGTGAGGTTTCCCTAAGTAAGTATTTTCCTTATGTTTACATCTCTGACAATTCCTAAATCTAACTGGAGCTGCACCTCATACGCTCACGCACAAGCATCCCTCCTCCCCAACTCCTACCGAACATCGTGCACCTTCCTTTTTGTGCACAAAATGACATATTGTGTGTTTTGTTCCTTCATTCAGCACAGGATCATGTATCCCGCCCATTTCTTGCTCCATCTTTTCTCTTGCATAGAATCTTGTGTTTCGCATTTAATTCCTGAATTTGCAAGTTAGCACCTGTCACCCTTGACACTCTCTCCAGACCCTATCTGTTTTAACCTTTTCGTCTCAATAGACTACATGAAGACATGTTACCCAACATAAGTGTAAATGGCCTAATCAGGTAGATGCAAAATAAGTGGTCTTATCAATGAGTTGTTGTAGTCTAATAATCAACAATATGCATAATTAATTAAGATTCGTCTAAGAGTTTGTAAGAGTTTAAATCGTGATAAAATGATTGGATGTTGAATATATATGTATGTATGTATGTATGTATATACATATGTATGTATGTATGTATATGTATATATATATATATGTACAAATGTATGTATGTATATGCATATGTATATATATGTATATGTATATGTGTAAGTATATATGCATATGTATGTGTGTATATGTATATGTGTGTGTGTATATATGTATGTATATATACATATGTATGTATGTATATGTATATGTATATATATGTGTGTGTGTGTGTGTATCCATATGTATTTATGTATATGTATATGTATAAATATATATACACACAAACATACATATACGTATGTATGTATACATATATGTGTGTGTTTATATATACATATGTATGTATGTTTGTATATGTATATATATATATATATATATATATATATATACATATACAAACATACATACATATGTATATATAAACACACACATATATGTATACATACATACGTATATGTATGTTTGTGTGTATATATATTTATACATATACATATACATAAATACATATGGATACACACACACACACACATATATATACATATACATATACATACATACATATGTATATATACATACATATATACACACACACATATACATATACACACATACATATGCATATATACTTACACATATACATATACATATATATACATATGCATATACATACATACATTTGTACATATATATATATATACATATACATACATACATACATATGTATATACATACATACATACATACATATATATTCAACATCCAATCATTTTATCACGATTTAAACTCTTACAAACTCTTAGACGAATCTTAATTAATTATGCATATTGTTGATTATTAGACTACAACAACTCATTGATAAGACCACTTATTTTGCATCTACCTGATTAGGCCATTTACACTTATGTTGGGTAACATGTCTTCATGTAGTCTATTGAGACGAAAAGGTTAAAACAGATAGGGTCTGGAGAGAGTGTCAAGGGTGACAGGTGCTAACTTGCAAATTCAGGAATTAAATGCGAAACACAAGATTCTATGCAAGAGAAAAGATGGAGCAAGAAATGGGCGGGATACATGATCCTGTGCTGAATGAAGGAACAAAACACACAATATGTCATTTTGTGCACAAAAAGGAAGGTGCACGATGTTCGGTAGGAGTTGGGGAGGAGGGATGCTTGTGCGTGAGCGTATGAGGTGCAGCTCCAGTTAGATTTAGGAATTGTCAGAGATGTAAACATAAGGAAAATACTTACTTAGGGAAACCTCACATAAATGTCTGGTAACATGCATTGAATGTGACTTTTGTTGATGGGAAAGTTAATAAATAGGGTCTGGACAAAATCCCAAGGGTGCTACCAAGCCAATTGAGGGGGGTCTAAAGGAGGTACAGTTGAAGGGTGATATATGCAAATTTATATATAATAGATAACAGAGAAATAGTTATAAATCTTGTTTGTATGCGTGCTGGAGGGATACCATCTAGGAATACATCTATATATGAGTCTGGCACCTCAATAAATCTTTGGAAGAGGAATAGATATTTTTCTTAGCCATGCATCCAGACCCAAGAATGCTGCAGTAAGAATTTTCTGTCCTTTCAATATGCCAACTTACAACCAAAAAGCGTTAATCCTATTTGCAAAAATAATGGCTGTGAAAAGTGCTACTTAATCAGTGAGTAGGCGAGGTTTCATAGACGCCTCTATATTTTTAGATACTAAATAATTCAAATTTATTGACTATATAATCTGCATAGAAGTGCTAAAACAAGAATTTGAATTAACAAAGAGCAAAAAGGTATGGATATGCATGTGTTGTGTTATAGCCCTTTGTATTAAAGATTCATGCCCGTATTCAGTGTCTAGGGTATAGATGAGCAATCATACATCCACATAAATATTCAGATTGTTCATATAAAATATCAATGTGGAGGGAAGAGCACATGCATGATATGCATGAAACTTTTAATTAAACACTTACAGCATTTTATAATATGCTCTTGTGAAAGGCTATCAAGTCGTTGCTTTAAAGCTGTATTCTCCAAGCTCAATAAATGGTTCTGCTGACTCAAAAATTCAATTTCCGCAGGAATTTCAAATCCTTCTGCCTATAGGCAAAATGCACATGATTGGATATTGCAGTCAGAATAGAGATGCTTCTATAAAATCATTTCCCTCATTCTAGAGATATATATTACCAAGGTAACCCTTTTCCCAGTCGATCAAGACTTGCCTGTAATGCATGGACATTTCTTTCCAGCTCAGCAATGTACTGGAGTTTCCTTACTCGTGATCGCTGAGCAAACTGTCTGCACATATGAAAAACATAATTATGATCGCCGAATGAAGACAAAACTAATAAAGTTCTAAAACTTGCACACCATTTTTTTCATTCACCAGATTAACTAGTTCTGTTGTCACGTTGGCCTTGTAATGAGGAGAGAGTGTGAGTTGGTAGGAATTTGTGCTATTTTTATCGAGAATGGTGGGGATTGTGCCACATTATGGTGACAATGGAGGAAAATCTCCTCCTATACAAGGATTACTCATTAATCTTTTATATATATATATATATCTATATATATAATTATATATCATATATTATATAATATATATATAAACGCATTACAATATATTAACAATAACATACATTACATTACATATATGTTATACATATACAAATACATATACAGATATATATTTAACCTATATATATGCATCATATTTTATAAACATATATTTTACACATATACAACATACATACACTCATTATGTAACATATATAGCATACAAGATAATATATACACCTATATATATGCATACCTCTCTCTCCCTATATACACATTTATACATTATACATTCACACTACATATACATATACGCTATACGTATTAACATATTACATGTATATATATATATATATATATATAGATATATACTATATATATATATATATAGAAAAAACTTATATCAACTTAGCATAGTGCACGTCCACTAAGTTTATTAGTCATTGAATGATTCACCTTGATTATGCATATTATCGGTGTATCGCTTGTTTAACTGATATATAATTCTAAACCTAACCACCTTATTCTAGGGTAGACGTCGTGAGTTTGACCTCCTCGATAGCCATGTAAAAAGTTCTATTCACTCAAAAAACGTTAAATATTAGATCGAGTGGATAAGTGGTCAAACAAAGACGGCGTTTCACACCTAATTTGGTGCTTGTTGGGTTTTATCAATATGTAGATTCAAGTTACAAGTGGCAGCGGAGATCATCCATAATATAGCTGCAATCAAGTGAATCATTCAAGACTAATGAACTTAGTGGACGTCCACTTCAGTTGACATACGTTTCTCTTCTCTCTCTTATATATATATATATGTATGGTATACTATATATTATTATATGATATATATATATATATATATGAGGATTAATGGGTATGGCTTGTCATAGGAGGGAGTTTCTCCTATGAGCTCTATTGTGGTACAATCCCTATGCATACTCATAAAGTAGATAAGCGAACGAAAGGAACAGAATGTGAATTGGGTGGAGGATTTGATGATGCCATAACTTTACTGGAGGATGATTAGATTGTGCCACCATAGGCGTCAAGCGAGGGAAATCTCCTCCTATGAACAAGGATAACCCATTAAATCTCTCTCTCTCTCTCTCTCTAATATGATATATATACTATATATATATTATATATATATATTATATATATATATATATATATATGAGATTTAATGCGGTATCCTTGTCATATGGAGAGGATTTTCCTCCGTAATTGACGGCCTCTAAAAATCACATGATTGAGGACCATATATCGGATGATCCGGCTCGCGTTGAACTTGATCCTGCATTTTCTCAACCCCACCACACCAAGTTGGGGTAGAAACCATCGTCGTTTGACCCTTCATCACTCGTACTCAATTTTAACTGGTTTTGCATGAATAAAACTTCTGCACATGCTCGATGGAGGGTCAAACGACGACGACATTTCCCCAAACTTGGTTGTGTTCGGGGTTTATGAAATATTGAGATCAAGCGTTCAACGGAGCGGATCAATCCATAATGTCGCTCAATCATGTGATTTTAGAGGCGTATTAGGAGAACAATCCTCTCTATTGACAAGGAACCCATTAATATCTGCTCTCGTCTTTCTATATTATATTATATATATATATAATTATATATATATATATATATATATATATATAATATATATATATATATATATATATATATATATTAATATTATATATATATCATGCCTCGCTCCGCCTCCCCGCGCGCGGCCTCAACATCCCACCATTAACTCCTCCATCCCACGCGCCCGTTTCTCTTCCCCGAAACGAGCTCCCACATGGGAATGCTTCCGGTCTGCTCTCCGACTTCGCGGACAAAGAGCATCTCGCGCTCCACTCCCATCTGCGCCCAACACCTTCCACATCGAGCTGTATCGACACCTGGCTCTAGTTTAACCCGCAATTTTCCCCTCTTGCCACGCTGCATGATTAGCCCTCGTGCCGAATCGCACTGGGCTCGGGCGCTCGCCCGACCGCGCCGAGCCGCCTCGTCCAGCGAGGTGTTCGATCGTGAGGCGCGGAGATCAGATGAGGGGTCGAGCTACGCCCGGGCCAGCAGTAGCGAAAGGAGAAGCACCGCAAGAAAATGAAAGAGCATGGAGGAGGGGAGCTTGGGGTCTTTTTTTTCAGCGAAGGCTAGCAGGGGCGCGATGTTGCTTTGATTTTTTTGGGCAAAAAACACCAACTCGGTTGGGAATCCGTACCGCTTGCTGCGTATGGTGGCGGTGCTGTTAATATATCATATTACTAACAATCTATATTATATATATTATATATATATTATATATATATTCAACATCTATTTGTTTTATCATGGATCTTAAGCTGCCTAAGCAAACTCTTATAATCTTATGAATTTCGCATATTAATTACTCTTAGACTACGCAACTCATTGATTATGTGTGTGTAACGTGTGGGTGTGTATACAGCGACACACATATTATCTGTATGGTGTATATAGAATAATACATACATACATATCGTATATAGATTTATATACATTACATATTCATATACATACCATAATATGATACATATATACTTACAGCACACACACGACACACACACCACATATATATATATAGTATATATATACTATATACTATATATATTAATTATATATATATATATATATATACTCTCTCTCTCTCTATATATTATATTATATATATATAAATATAATATTATATATTATTATATATATATATATATAGAGGAATATGGGTATACTTCGCAAGATCCTTACGGTAGCTGATGTGGCACACATCTTGTCCATACATCACACCTTGGATTGTTGGTGAGCGCTCCTCTTCAAGTGCTGCATGTATTGACAAGATGTGTCCACATCACTACCAAGGATCCTTGGCTACCAAGTATACCCATTTTTCTCATATATATATATATATATATATATATATATATATAATATATATATATATATATATATACTTTATGAGGATGGTGAGGATTGTGCCACATAGGCGTCAATGAGAAAATCCTCTCCAATGACAAGGATACCCATTAATATCTCTCTCTCTATATATATATATATATAGCAAAACTTATATCAACTTAAGTGGATAGCAAAAAATTATCCACCAAACTTTTTAGCCACTCATATTTCCTAGGGATCTTTACATGATATGAAAAGGTTTATTATAATAATAAATGAGTGGCTAGGAAGTTTGGTGGACTATATATATATATATATATATATATATATATATATATAGCAAAACTTGTATCAACTTAAGTGGATAGCAAAAAGTTATCTACCAAACTTTTTAGCCATTGATGTTGCCTAGGAATCCATAAAAGATATGAAGAGGTTTTTTATATATATAAATGAGTGGCTAGGAAGTTTGGTGGACATCCACTTAAGTTGACATAAGATCAACTCTCTCTATATATATGTGTGTGTTTGTGTGTGTGTGTATTTTATATGTATACATATATGTATAGACACACACATTTACGTACATACATACATACATTTACACACACGCACACATGCATGCATGACACACACATATATTTATATATACGTATATATATTAACCAAAATTCTATATTTAGCAATATGCTACTTTTGACCTTCCATTTTACCACACAAGGCAAAAGACTTTAAGCCCTTAAATCTTGTATTTTAGATAGTTTTAAGTTATGTATATTAACTTTAACAGACTTGAGTCCCATTTTGGCTGGTTTAGCATGAATTTAAATGGGATGGATTCAGCTTTGAATCCGTCCTGATGTAGTTTACTCTACCAATTAATTTAAAACAGACTGGACCTTTTCCGTCATGTGTGTGTTGGCATGTCTTTTTATCAGTGTGTATATATACTTTTGTGTGTGTCTAGTGGCTCATGCTTGCGCATTCTTGCGTGTGCATCTACTGTCTCTCATCAAGTCATCATCCATCTACAAAGTGAGCTTGCAACTCTAATTTGTTTGGGAAAAGATTCAAGTCATTAGCTTGAATTTCTTTTTTTTATTTTTATTTACAGTTTTATCTTTGATCTGTTTGCAGATTGTATCATTGTATATTTTTTTGATTAAGTTATTTTTAATTTTATGAATGAACAAAAATCATGTACGATCTTTCAGTTCATGCTTTTATGATGAACACTCTATTGGATCTACTTGTGAAGAGTCTTAGTAAAATTGATGAAAAACCTACGAAGAAAAAAGGTTAACTTCTGAAGTATGATTAGATTTTGATAAAATAAATAAAAGTTTAGAAAATAGCTGATGGAATCAACACTACGAGAGTGAAATGTAAACATTGCTTGTTTGAATGTGATGGATGTATTTTCAGAGGTATTAGACACCTTAATAATCACATTATGAGGTGCCCTGAAAAGAGGAGACCTGATATTTGTCCAACAATTTGTTCAAACTACAACAAAGAATGAAGAAGGAACTTGCACACTAAGGGGATGTTTGGCAACCCTTTAAAACTGTCTGAAGAGTGAACCTAGCCCAGTTTTGGATATTTTTTTTGGCAAAAAAACTTAACCATAACTGACCTAGTTTTTGTAGGCCAAATTTTGGCTGCTAAACGAGTTTCAGTTTGGACATCTTCCTCCTGGTCCAAACTAGAACTAGTATAGGATAGAATTGGGCCAGAATTGATCCTAGTTTAGTTTTTGGTGGGTTGCCAAACGTACCTTTAAGTAATTATCATTTTGATAATGAGAAGAGTCAACGTAGCTTGTAAAAACTGTATTTTTCAATAAATAAGCATTTAGCTTGGTCATACATGGGTTTTTTAATACAGCACGTGCATTCTTTTCTTCCACAATCATGAGGTTCCAAATAGTACACAAAATGCAATCACAAAATTGTGTATGAATGTCTATAAGGATTATAGAAAATCTATCTGATATGTTTACCACATCTTTTCTAAATTTGAATTTAACAATTTTCTTCACACAACTGGTCATATTTGTGCATTATTGCTCACTTTGTTGATAAGCTTATAAATTAAAGTCCATAGTTCGTCGAGGAAAGACATATGCAATAAAGTTGACAGTAAAGTATTTTCAGTTATGGTGGATCAAGTTTTTAAGTATCGGATATCGGGTGAAAGTACTATGTTGGTCACTCTTTGTCGCGATGCTTGGCACTGAAAACTACTGGTCTTAGGGAGAAAATTTTGTAAAATTGAGAACTAATATTACATGTAATAGAGATGTATGACTATGAAGTTCCTATCTGTAATTACTGGATGTGCAGAAACTTGAAGAGATACTTCTTTGTTTCCTGTTGCAGGAAGTGATGTTTTTACTCAATGAGGAAGGTTTGTCATTTCATTTTCAGTATAGATATTGGTAACAGTTGATGTTATACAAACTAAACTATAATGATAATACTTAAAGTGATTGACACTTTGAAATATGTTAACTACAAGTTAGGTTAACTTTGACCACGGTCAATCAATTTGCTGCTTTGAGGACCTCTGCCCACCCTGAGTAGTTTTAATGGGCCAAAATAATTTGCTTTTTTTTTTTTTTGCTTATTGAATTGTATTAGTACCATATATTTGCTTCTTGTGACCCAGTTCAAAATTGGAATAACTTGAAGGAGGTTTGTGTATTGCAGTTGAGCAGGAAATGTTGGAAAGAGAGATTTCTCGTCTTCGAGGATTTCCTCATCATTGTCAGCAGCAGCGACAGCAGCAACAACATCCACAACAGCAGATGCAGAGGCAAAGGCAGCATAGAAATCGTGCTTCTAACCATAGGCGCAGTAACAGTAGAGACCTTGGCTCACAATTCAGCAATCTTCCATCACAGCAAAAGGATTCGAGTTCTAAGCAGGATCCAGTCGCTGACCCACTCCATACTTAGAGATACACTCCTCATGCCAATTTAGTATAGGGGAATAATTCAGAATTTAGCCTTCATCTCTTTTACCTTTTGCTTTCAGTACATGCACCTGGCAGTTGGCTTCAACTAATTTTCAGCCGACTAGTCGGAGGTGTTAGGGTCTTCTAGTTTTATTTTCTTTTCATATATCTGTAATCTTATGAATGTCTACACAATTTGTTACTTGGCCTGGTTTTTCTTTTCTAATAAAAGCTATGATATCATGTGGAGGGTGATATCCTCACAAGCCTGTGAATCTGGCAGGCAGATGTGTCTATAATCTGGGTTCAAGCTTTTTGATTGTGATCTTGTTTGTATGTAAAGTAATATTGATGTCTGTAGCATTTGCTAAAGAACTGGGTCTAATAATATGAAACTTTGGTGTTTCCTCCTGGTTCCCTGTTGAGTCAATTGTTGTTAAGCGGATTTGTACTAAAATTAAGGTTGTTAAACGAGCAGAATAAAGCCTTGAGCGTGTTTACCACTTACATTAGTAACATTTGATTTTTTTTTTCCTACATCAAATTTACTAGATTTCCTTCCATACTTCAAACCTGACATGCTGAAGGATGAAGCCTCTTGGTGTTTAAACTCTTCTGGAATTTATAAGGTGAACTTCTGCAAAGTTAGAGCTTTCCTTTTGATCTTATCAAAGAAAAGATTGCAAACGAAAGCTCAACTTTGTGAAAAGGGTTAGGAGGGAGATACGAATGGTGTGTTCTGTAATTGTAAGATGGAAACAATGATCACTAGTTCTATTTTTGCTCATTCAGTTCCAAAATTTGAAAGTTGTTCTTTGATTATTTGGGAGTTGATTCTTGGCCCTCAAATCTCCATGACCAGATACATTCCTATGGAAACTTTATTACCTCAAGCCATGGTCGAATTTTTGGGAGATCATGGTTCCAACTTACTGTTGGTGCTTATGGATAGCAAGAAACAACAAAAAATCTTTAAAGGAGTTGATTGTAATATTGATTATCTAACTTCCAGTATCCTTTTATATCTTCGACCTTGGACAAGGGCCTCATCTCAGAAGAAGGGTGCGAGGTTGAGAGAAGCTTTTCATAGTCTCCTGCCTGGTTTATGCCTTTCTGAAGCGTGAGGGAGTTGGGTTGTGGTTTTGGTTTTTTGGAGGTGTTGGGTCATCTTTGGCTAGGAGGAAACATGTTTTTGCTGTTAATCATGATTTTTTTCCTGGCTTAGTTTTGGGTGTATTCAAGGTTTAATTTGAGTTTAACCATAAAAAACCTAACTTTTTATTGGATTTTGGCTAAAACTTGCATTTTCCCTCGTTTCCTCTCCACTGAAGTTTGATATTTGTCGATTCTTGGTAAGAGCTGATCCCAAGGGTGCTTGTTTATGAGTTTTTCATCCTTTGCTTGAAATATTATCCAAAACCCTAACTTCTTCTTGTAGGTTTTCAATCAAAATCCTATTTTGATGATGTCTCCCAAGAGATCGCGTGTCCTGAGGAGTAGTTTAGCTTCTCAGCCAGCAGAGAGAGAGGAGCCCGCTGCTACATCTTTTGGAGGTGAGATTTCTCAACTTTTATCAATTCAAAAGTTAAAATTTTGAACGTATATCCTCGTTTGTTCTCCTTCGTGAGGCATTCAAGAAGAGCCGGTATCCTCCTTTGTGGGGATCGATGCTTAATGAATGTGTTTTGTTTGGTCAAAACACGTCTCAAGACAAAAGAGACGATTTTACATTGTCTCGCTATCCGTAGGGCATAGTATATTATCTTGTTGTTTACGTGACAATGTACGTTGTCCCTCATGTGCAAAACAACAGTAATCGTCTCGTAAATCACAAGATAGTGACTCTACCTGGCAGATTTGCGGGATGAGTTTGACTCCTTATTTTGCCTTAGAAATATTCTTTTAACTGGGCTTGACAAATCAACCTTTATTCGCGGCAGTTAATTTCCCTTCAGAAGTGTTTTCTCCCCACGCAGTGAGCAGTCAAAGTGGTGGGGATTTTGCCTCCTCTGATGAGACACCACTTATTGATGAGGCACCCTAATTTGACATGAACGGGCATGAGAAAATCCCCAAGCTCGTGTGTGAAGGGAGTCGTCGTACAGTGCGACGGCTAATCACGGATGCCCCGCTCACCAAGGATCCAAGTGTTACTCAACCTCTGAGGAAGCCCAACTATTTATTCAGTGACTCTGTAGAAGATCCCAAAATTTTGACCCTTGACGCAGAGAAGTGGTTGAATGAATATGAAGGGAGCCTTAGATTCCTTCCCCCAATTCCCTGCCAATACACTTTAACACACCTGAGGAAGCAAGCCATGACACGTGAGATGCCGTGGTGCTTGACAGAGGATCAAGAACGTGTTCATTGTGGCTTTATCACTCGACACAAGACTTCGAGCTCCAGTGATAGGAGTTATGTTCGTGGACTTCATCCCAATGTATTGGGACAATATGAAGTTCCACAAAATGAGCCGCCGATCAGGGCTAACACCGTGAGAAATCACCTTGCGAGGCTAGGAAGGGAGCTACCTATCAATGGTTTCAGGTGTTATGGCCGGGTGCACTCGTCGGATATAACATCCTATGGAAGCTTACATGCCATTATCAGACCGCCCTGGCGGGTGTAGATGTCAAGGCTAAGAAGAAGTCTCCTCAGCTCAGCTTGAAATAGTTCTCAGGTTATTTGTTCAAGCACTTGGAAGACCATTTTGGAAAGGAAATCTATGAGTTGGCACCCCTAACTCCTTCTGATATCAATAGACTGATTGAGAAGATAGGTGCACAGACTTATACCACTGGTACCGCAGACGTCAAATTTCCCTGGGGCACCAAGTTCAGACATTCTTGTGGCACGCTTAGAAGCAAATTCAGCCAACAACCCTCTTGGTAGGTTACTTAGCAATCTGGTTGAAAAAAAAATTTCGTGCTACACCAAGCCCCTCATGCATTGCCGGTTGAAGTTTTGTTTCCAGTTGTTGAGCTCGCAATCGAGAAAAAGATTTCTTTGCTTCCGGCGATGATCGTCGATATTCACAGTGGGCTCTCACACTTTGTTACCGACTTTACACAAGAAAGAAGGAATCCCTCGAGTGAGATCCCCACTGCCAAGATCGAGCTCCCTTATACTTATTTGATGGTGTGGCTAGTCCTCCATCACTCTGACCTAATGACGGTGTCAAGTATTGTTGATCCGTCCATCCCTTTGTTGTAATCGTTAGAGGATTGCAAGTGGGAAGCCCGACAATGGCATGAAGTGAAGCGGCAGTTTTAAATTCACAAATGCTGGGAATTCTTTAAGTGCTTCCCCTAATTATCTGGCCACTATAATGAGCTATTGATTGATGATGAAGAGCTGGGGAGGAGTCAAACCATCCTCGATGTGGGGTGTTTCTGTTGGTTGATGAACATTCGCCCTGGCTACCTTATTTTCTAGGTAAAGAATAGCTGTAGCATTGAGCCCTACCTCCTCTACTGGTTCGCCTGTCAGTTCGGTTATGACCAACTGTATGTTGAGAACCCGAACCAAAAATTAAGGACTCATGGAGGACTTATTGTCGGGGCTTGTGCCTGGTTTTGGAGTGTAGCAGGCTACACGGGTGTTAAGTTAAACCTTCCAGCTACAGAGCGTCCGTTGCAACTCATATTCCTTTGCTGCAAGTGGCTGATAGCTACCAACACGCTTACCAAGCCTAAGAGAATATTAGAATTGGAGGTAGAAGAAGCAACCAAGTGTGTCGCAGGGATAGTTCGAGAGGCTTTGCTCATGAGGAGGGGAAACGAGCCCACTGGACCTGTTGGCAAAGGCAAACAAGTAGCTACAGAGGAGGAGGAAACTCTTCCAATTGATGAAGAAGAGATCTGCAAAGAAGGCGTTACCGGGGGTGAAGGTACCGAGGCTGAGGGCGACGAAGAGGAAGAAGATACATCAGGCCTTCCATTATCCTTCTTTCCCGGAGGGGGTGCAAGTTTGTCGATTGCCCACTGGACCTAACAATCTGACCAACCTAAGTTGCCTGAAGCTCCAAAAAAGCCAAGGTAGAAGATCATGTTCACTCATCCCCACAAGATGAGAGTCGATCTTCTAGGTGGGGTTAAAGACGACGAAGAAGAAGAAACTGCCAAAGCTAGCCTTGTCCACCGGAAGAGATCTCGGTCTTCAACTCACGTAGAGACTTAGGCTCAGACTACAACTTTTCTATGGGTTGAGTTGCGTACCAAGTTTCGACAGGAAAGACCTGTCACTTCTGAAGAAGCTCGACCTATGAAGCGGAAGAAGGGCACGCACAAGCTGTGTACTAAATTGCCTTCATTCAAAGAAGAGCCGCTTGGCGACATTCCCATTGAAGAAGAAGGTAATATCTCACTTCTGTATTGCTTCTCATACTTCATTTTCAAGTTTACTGAAAATATCCCTCTTCTTTTTTAGGGGGTTTTGAAGAAGGTGAGCTTCCGCACGAGCCTGCTTCTCCCAGCTTCACTCACTTTGAAAGATCAGGCTTTACTCAACAACTACATGAAGCTATAAGTGAGGATCCTCTAAGTAGTGAAGCTGGTGCGGATACTGGTGTTCAACCCGACCCTACCATCGAACTCACCCTAACAGCCTCCGGCACAGGTATATCCTATCCAGACACTACCTTATTCAGGTGATAGCTCAGACAGTTCAACGATTCGCAACTCGTGCCTCCTCTAATCATTTCTATGCTTCATGCTCTTTTAGAGAAATTGAAGGAAACGAGCGCAAGTTTTAGGTCTACGAAACCTGTTGCGGCGGTTGAAGGTAAAGTCGATCTCCATTTGATGTGAATCCTGGCTTTTCCTTCTTGTGCTTAAAATTCAGCTTCTTTGTAGATATCATGACGGGGGAACCCGTCGATGAGGAAGCCTTTCATGATGTAGATATCGGGGAGTTTGATGAACATGTCCTCGACCAAATGACATACTTCTCTGAAGCTGATTATAAATTGCTTGCCGATATATTATCAGAGCAAGCTCATGGCGAGGCTGTAGGACCAACAGTTGAGTTTGGTTCGTCTGTAGGTATTGATCTTTTCCCATAACCACTCTTATCCATTCATTAATTTTAGATGACCACATGAGAGTTTTAATTATATGACCAGCCACTGGAGCTGATACAACTACAATTGCAGAAGCTTCGGACCAGCCCAAAGACTTAGGCATTTCGGGTTTGGAGCGAGCCATCATTGAAACTCAATCATCCACTTCTCACCCCAAAACTGCCGTTCTTTTAGATCCAATGG